TTAGAGGATTGAAGGGATGGTGAAGGGTGAGTAGGATGAAGGGATGGTGAAGGGTAGAGGATGAAGGGATGGTGAAGGGTAGAGGATGAAGGGATGGTGAAGGGTAGAGGATGAAGGGATGGTGAAGGGTAAGGATGAAGGGATGGTGAAGGGTTAGAGGATGGAAGGGATGGTGAGGGTAAGGTTTACGGTTGAATGAGGATGAAGGGATGGTGAAGGGTAGAGGATGAAGGAGTGAGGTAGGGATGAAGGGATGGTGACGGTAGAGGTGAAGGGATGGTGAAGGGTATAGAGGATGAAGGGAGTGAGGTGGGAAGGTGTGATAGAGGATGAGGATGGTGAGGTAGAGGATGAAGGGATGGTGAAGGGTAGAGGATGAAGGGATGGTGAAGGGTAGAGGATGAAGGGATGGTGAAGGGGTATGAGGATGAAGGGATGGTGAAGGGTTAGAGGATGAAGGGATGTGTGAAGGGTAGAGGGATGAAGGGAGGTGAAGGGTAGAGGATGAAGGGATGGTGAAGGGTAGAGGATGAAGGGATGTGAAGGTAGAGGATGAAGGGATGGGTGAAGGGTTAGAGGATGAAGGGATGGTGAAGGGTAGAGGATTGAAGGGGATGGTGAAGGGTAGAGGATGAAGGGATGTGAAGGGGTAGAGGATGAAGGGATGTGGTGAAAAGGGTAGAGGATGAAGGGATGGTGAAGGGTAGATGATGAAGGGATGGGTGAAGGGTAGAGGATGAAGGGATGGTGAAGGGTAGAGGATGAAGGATGGTGAAGGGGATGGTGAAGGGGTAGAGGATGAAGGGATGGTGAAGGGTAGAGGATGAAGGGATGTGAAGGGTAGAGGATGAAGGGATGGTGAAGGGTAGAGGATGAAGGGATGGTGAAGGGGTAGAGGATGAAGGGATGGTGAGGGTAGAGGATGGAAGGGAGTGGTGAAGGGTAGAGGTGAAGGATGTGAAGGGTAGAGGTGGAAGGGATGGTGAGGGTAGGGATGAAGGGATGGTGAAGGGTAGAGGATGAAGGGATGGTGAAGGGTAGAGGAGTGGAGGATGGTGAAGGGTAGAGGATGAAGGGATGGTGTGAAGGTAGAGGATTGAAGGGATGGTGAAGGGTAGAGGATGAAGGGATGGTGAAGGGTAGAGGATGAAGGGATGGTGAAGGGTTAGAGGATGAAGGGATGGTGAGGGTAAGAGGATGAAGGGATGGTGAAGGGTAGAGGATGAAGGGATGGTGAAGGGTAGAGGATGAAGGGATGGTGAAGGGTAGAGGATGAAGGGATGGTGAAGGGTAGAGGATGAAGGGATGTGAAGGGTAGAGGATGAAGGGATGGTGAAGGGTAGAGGATGAAGGGTGTGAGGGTAGAGGATGAAGGGATGGTGAAGGGTAGAGGATGAAGGATGTGAAGGGTAGAGGATGAAGGGATGGTGAGGTGAAGTGTAGAGGATGAAGGTGGTGAAGGGTTAGAGGATGAAGGGATGGTGAGGTAGAGGATGAAGGGATGGTGAAGGGTAGAGGATGAAGGGATGGTGAAGGGTAGAGGATGAAGGGATGGTGAAGGGTAGAGGATGAAGGGATGGTGAAGGGTTTAGAGGCATGAGGGATGGTGAAGGGTTAGAGGATGAAGGGATGGTGAAGGGTATGAGGATGAAGGGATGGTGAAGGGTAGAGGATGAAGGGATGGTGAAGGGTTAGGAGGATGAAGGGATGGTGAAGGGTAGAGGATGAAGGGCTGTGAGGGTGGTTGAAGGGATGGTGAGGTGAGGTGAAGGGATGGTGAGGGTAGAGGATGAAGGGATGGTGAAGGGTAGAGGATGAGGGATGGTGAAGGGTAGAGGATGAAGGATGGTGAAGGGTATGAGGATGAAGGGATGGTGAAGGGTAGAGGATGAAGGGATGGTGAAGGGTTAGAGGATGAAGGGATGTGAAGGGTAGAGGATGAAGGGATGGTGAAGGGTTAGAGGATGAGGGATGGTTGAAGGTAGTAGAGGTAGAAGGGATGGTGAGGGTTAGAGGATGAAGGGATGGTGAAGGGTAGAGGATGAAGGATGGTGAAGGGTAGAGGATGAAGGGATGGTGAAGGGTAGAGGATGAAGGAGTGAAGGTAGAGATGAGGGATGTGAAGGGTAGAGGATGAAGGGATGGTGAAGGGTAGAGGATGAAGGGATGGTGAAGGGTAGAGGATGAAGGGATGGTGAAGGGTAGTAGGGATGAAGGGATGTGTGAGGGTTTAGAGGATGAAGGGATGGTGAAGGGTAGAGGATGAAGGGATGTGAAGGGTAGAGGATGAAGGGATGAAGGGTGAGGAGAAGGGATGGGAGGTAGAGGATGAAGGATGGTGAAGGGTGAGGTGAGGGATGTGAAGGGTAGTAGAGGATGAAGGGATGGTGAAGGTGTATTAGAGGATGAAGGGATGGTGAAAGGGTAGAGGATGAAGGGATGGTGAAGGGTCTAGAGGATGATAGGGGATGGTGAAGGGTAGAGGATGGACGGGATGGTGAAGGGTAGAGGATGAAGGGATGGTGAAGGGTAGAGGATGAAGGGATGGTGAAGGGTCGAGGGATGAAGGGATGGTGAAGGGTTAGGGATGAAGGGATGGTGAAGGGTAGAGGATGAAGGGATGGGTGAAGGGTAGAGGATGAAGGGATGGTGAAGGGTAGAGGATGAAGGGATGGTGAAGGGTTTAGAGGATGAAGGGATGGTGAAGGGTAGAGGATGAAGGGATGTGAGGGTTAGAGGATGAAGGGATGGTGACGGGTAGAGGATGAAGGGATGTGAAGGGTAGAGGATGAAGGGATGGTGAAGGGTTAGAGGATGAAGGATGGGAAGGGTAGAGGATGAAGGGATGGTTGAAGGGTTAGAGGATGAAGGGGTGTGAAGGGTAGATGGATGAAGGGATGGTGAAGGGTAGAGGTGAAGGATGGTGAGGGTAGAGGATGAAGGGATGGTGAAGGGTAGAGGTTGAAGGGATGGTGAGGGTAAGAGGATGAAGGGATGGGTGAAGGGTAGGAGGATGAAGGGATGGTGTAAGGGTAGAGGATGAAGGGATGGTGAAGGGTAGAGGTGAAGGGATGGTGTGAAGGGTAGAGGATGAAGGGATGGGAAAAGGTAGGAGGTGAAGTGAAGGGATGGTGAAGGGTAGAGGATATGAAGGGATGTGAGGGGTAGAGGGGAAGGGATGGTGAAGGGTAGAGGATGAAGGGTGGTGAACGGTTAGAGGATGAAGGGATGGTGTGAAGGGTTAGAGGATGAGAGGATGTGAAGGGTAGAGGATGAAGGGATGGTGGAAGGGTTAGAGGATGAAGGTATGTGAAGGGTTAGAGGATGAAGGGATGGTGAAGGGTATAGAGGATTGAAGGGATGGTGAAGGGTAGAGGATGAAGGGATGGTGAAGTGTAGAGGATGAAGGGCTGGTGAAGGGTTAGAGGATGAAGGATGGTGAAGGGTAGAGGATGAAGGGATGGTGAAGGGGTAGAGGATGAAGGGATGGTGAAGGGTAGAGGATGAAGGGATGGTGAAGGGTAGATGATGAAGGGATGGTGAAGGGTTATAGGATGAAGGGATGGTGAAGGGTTAGAGGATGAAGGGATGGTGAAGGGTAGAGGATGAAGGGATGGTGAAGGGTAGAGGATGAAGGGATGGTGAAGGGTAGTAGAGGATGAAGGGATGGTTGAAGGGGTAGAGGATGAAGGGATGGTGAAGGGGTAGAGGATGAAGGGATGGTGAAGGGTAGAGGATGAAGGGATGGTGAAGTGTAGAGGATTGAAGGGCTGGTGAAGGGTTATAGAGGATGAAGGGATGGTGAAGGGTAGAGGATGAAGGGATGGTGAAGGGTAGAGGATTGAAGGGATGGTGAAGGGTAGAGGATGAAGGGATGGTGAAGGGGTAGATGATGAAGGGATGGTGAAGGGTATAGGATGAAGGGATGGTTGAAGGGTAGAGGATGAAGGGGATGGTGAAGGGTAGGGATGAAGGATGGTGAAGGGTAGAGGATGAAGGGATGTGAAGGGTAGAGGATGAAGGGATGGTGAAGGGTTAGAGGATGAAGGGGATGGGAACGGTAGAGGATGAAGGGATGGTGAAGGGTAGAGGATGAAGGGATGTGAAGGGTAGGGATGAAAGGGATTGGTTGAACGGGTTATAGAGGATGAAGGGATGTGAAGGGTAGAGGATGAAGGGATGGTGAAGGGTAGAGGATGAAGGGATGGTGAAGGGTAGAGGATGAAGGGATGGTGAAGGGTAGAGGATGAAGGGATGGTGAAGGGTAGAGGATGAAGGGATGGTGAAGGGTAGAGGATGAAGGGATGGTGAAGGGTAGAGGATGAAGGGATGGTGAAGGGTAGAGGATGAAGGGATATGAAGGGTAGAGGATGAAGGGATGGTGAAGGGTAGAGGATGAAGGGATGGTGAAGGGTAGAGGATGAAGGGATGGTGAAGGGTAGAGGATGAAGGGATGTGAAGGGTAGAGGATGAAGGGATGGTGAAGGGTAGAGGATGAAGGGGATGGTGAAGGGTAGAGGATGAAGGGATGGTGAAGGGTAGAGGATGAAGGGATGGTGAAGGGTAGAGGATGAAGGGATGGTGAAGGGTAGAGGATGAAGGGATGGTGAAGGGTAGAGGATGAAGGGATGTGAAGGGTAGATGATGAAGGGATGGTGAAGGGTAGAGGATGAAGGGATGGTGAAGGGTAGAGGATGAAGGGATGGTGAAGGGTAGAGGATGAAGGGATGTGAAGGGTAGAGGATGAAGGGAAAAGATGCAGGTAATGGATAATTGGAGGAGGTGAGAGGAAATGGGGAAAGAGAAGAATGGAGGGATGGGATGAAGCTTAGGGATCAGGTGATGGAAGAAGGGATGAAAGGTGGAGAGGATGAGGGAAAGGAATGGATAATGGAGGGATGGGATGAAGAGATCTGGTGAGAGGAAATAAGGAAGGGATGAGATAAAAGGATGGGTGAAGGGAAGAAGGAGAGGAGAGGAGTGTTCTGTGTGACTCACTGTAGGTTCTCTGAGCTGAACTCTGATTCCAGGAACTTGAGGAACTGGTCGCGACCTGCCAGATCCTTCAGAGCTTCTTCTAGAGAGAAACCCCACTTCCTCACCCTCTGTTGACTGGGGTCCTTACTAAGGGGGGGGGATACAGAAGGAGAGAGTAGGAGGAAGGAAAAGTTTGAGTTCATGAAAGAGCAGGAGTTAAATAAAATAGACAGACAGGGAAAAAAATGAATACTGTGATCTCAAACAGTCTCAAACACCACATGATGTTGGACAAGTGGTGGCAGCGATGTAGAAACAGTGACAGCATAGTCCTGTAATGGCAGCGTTCACATGACACCTAATCATTTACATCTCTGCAGGACATTTCCCTCTAACCTGTAATGTAATTAATCAATTTATCAGGATTATGAAGCTACATTAGGCACAATGATTATATGTCTGGGTTGATTCATCTCTGCATAAGTCTAGGAGACCAGAAGGGTTACAGACAGACTACACATGGTGCTCAGCAACAGCATCGTCCACCATGAAATATCTTTCATATCTGGATCTAATAATGATGTAGGACAATAGGATGTCATTGCCCTTTGTTCAGATTGTTCAGACTTTAAGGATGATTATCTAAAGTCCTGTTTACACTTGGTTCTAACATGCGTCCTTTGTCCTGAACTTGTCCACATTCTGATTGTGACCACATTTTTAGACGGGTGTAGACAATCAAAAAATACATTGTGATCAGATCATCCTGCCCACCTCCGGAGGTAGTCAAGACACATTGTGTCTGGATATCTCACAAGTGTAGGCAGATCTGGACAGAGACACCATTTGAATCATCATTATTCTACCCTTTAACATCATTGACAGGTGGCACCATTGACTGATTACATCAATATGTGTCTTACAATAAATACATATTATTTTGAAAGAATAGCTGTGAAATATAATTTGCATAAAGGAAGGGACCAGGAAATCTGGTCACAATGCAGACACAGGTATAAATAGGGCTAGGGACTCGTTGTATCTGGATATCAATCAAGTGTAAACAGATCTGGATGATCAAATAATTTAAATCATCATTATACTGGCCTCTAAAATCATTGGCACCATTGACATATGGCATAAATAATTGTCTTCAAATAAATACATTCATATCACTTTGAAATAATATCTGTCAAACAATCTGCATACAGGGAGGCACCAGGAAATCTGGTCACAATTCGGACATAGTGGACAGATAACAGACACGTTTCGCTACCAATGTGTACCAACGGCTACAATGTGGGCACGATCAGAATGTGGACAGGATCAGGACAAAGGGCGCATGTTAGAACCAGGTATAAACGGGGCTTTAAGACACAGCATTGGTGACCCCTGAGACAGTTGGCTCTCTTTGATTATGGTACTTTGATTTCACCATTTAGTAATGAAACAGGACGATAATAAGTTGTCATTGCCCCCCCATGATCCTCTCTGTCACTGAGGGTGATTTTGCAGCTGAAGTGGCTAGGTGGATTAGTTTTGTAGGAAAAGCCATACATTAGGTGCTTTGGGAGAGACAGAGACCAGAGACAAGTATGTATCAGACAGGGAAGTCACAGATACCAGTCCACCGACTGGGGAACTTAGGGTTGTGGTTCTTACCTGGCCTCTAGGTCCCAGAATGAGAGGTCGTCACTGGCCCAGGGGTTGGACGGTTCTGGTGACACCACCAACGGGTCATACTCCTGGTACTGCTCAGTGTAAGTCATCAGACTGACAGCAACACAACAGACAACACACAGAGATGGACATTGTGAAGAATGACACATGATCAGTCAGATATCAGTTCTACTGTAGGCCCTACAGTCAGATATCAGTTCTACTGTAGGCCTTACAGTCAGATATCAGTTCTACTGTAGGCCCTACAGTCAGATATCAGTTCTACTGTAGGCCTTACAGTCAGATATCAGTTCTACTGTAGGCCTTACAGTCAGATATCAGTTCTACTGTAGGCCCTACAGTCAGATATCAGTTCTACTGTAGGCCCTACAGTCAGATATCAGTTCTACTGTAGGCCCTACAGTCAGATATCAGTTCTACTGTAGGCCCTACAGTCAGATATCAGTTCTACTGTAGGCCCTACAGTCAGATATCAGTTCTACTGTAGGCCTTACAGTCAGATATCAGTTCTACTGTAGGCCCTACAGTCAGATATCAGTTCTACTGTAGGCCCCTACTACTTGACACAGATCGGAAACCTATTAATGTAAGGCTAAACTATTAGGTTGAAACTGGTGAGCCAAGAGTAGTTTCCGCCACAGTGCGAGCCCAGTTTGAAACACCCTGCCTGCATCATCATGGCACCAATGGCTTTGAACTCTGTAAAGGAATTCTTAGAAAAGCACCACACACACGCAATCCCTGGTAGAAGGTCACATTTGAAAACCATAAACCACTTCAGTCCTGCCCTCCAGCCTTGACCCAAGCCCCTAGACCTGCCCTCCAGCCTTTCCCCTAGCCCTAGAAACCATAAACCACTTCAGTCCTGCCCTCCAGCCTTGACCCAAGCCCCTAGACCTGCCCTCCAGCCTTTCCCCTAGCCCTAGAAACCATAAACCACTTCAGTCCTGCCCTCCAGCCTTTCCCCTAGCCCTAGAAACCATAAACCACTTCATTCCTGCCCTCCAGCCTGTACCTTGCCCCTAGCCCCGCCCTCCAGCCTGTACCTTGCCCCTAGCCCCGCCCTCCAGCCTGTACCTTGCCCCTAGCCTACATTTACATTTACATTTTAGCCCTGCCCTCCAGCCTGTACCTTGCCCCTAGCCCCGCCCTCCAGCCTGTACCTTGCCCCTAGCCCCGCCCTCCAGCCTGTACCTTGCCCTTAGCCCCGCCCTCCAGCCTGTACCTTGCCCCTAGCCCCGCCCTGCCCTGCAGCCTGTACCTTGCCCCTAGCCCCGCCCTCCAGCCTGTACCTTGCCCTTAGCCCCGCCCTCCAGCCTGTACCTTGCCCCTAGCCCCGCCCTGCCCTCCAGCCTGTACCTTGCCCCTAGCCCCGCCCTGCCCTCCAGCCTGTACCTTGTCCCTAGCCCCGCCCTCCAGCCTGTACCTTGTCCCTAGCCCTGCCCTGCCCTGCAGCCTGTACCTTGCCCTTAGCCCCGCCCTCCAGCCTGTACCTTGCCCCTAGCCCCGCCCTCCAGCCTGTACCTTGCCCTTAGCCCCGCCCTCCAGCCTGTACCTTGCCCCTAGCCCCGCCCTCCAGCCTGTACCTTGCCCTTAGCCCTGCCCTCCAGCCTGTACCTTGCCCCTAGCCCCGCCCTCCAGCCTGTACCTTGCCACTAGCCCCGCCCTCCAGCCTGTACCTTGCCCCTAGCCCCGCCCTCCAGCCTGTACCTTGCCCCTAGCCCCGCCCTCCAGCCTGTACCTTGCCCCTAGCCCTGCCTAAGCAGAGCTGCCAACTCTCACACATTGGCCGCGAGACACACGCATTTTGACCCTCTTCTCACGCTCTCACCGCACACCACTTATATCTCACGCATTGAAAAGTACTGCTTTTATTTTTCTAGTTAACTTTTCAACTGTGCCCCAAATCGTTTTGAAATCGGAGCGTCTGCGCCTGCAATTTAACATCACGAGCGACACCTCTATCATTGTCCTGTCTTGCCACAGCACTGTGAACCGCGGCACATTGAAGCATATGATTGGTCTAGTTATGTAAAGGATCAAGTGGGATTGGATGCATGTTTAAAAAAAAAACGCCCATCAAGATTAGAGTGGAGCTGAATGGAGAGAGAACATTCTCTGCTGAGTTTCTAAAAACTCTTAAAAGAGCAGCGCGGAAGCCTGTTTTATGTCCAATGAGGTCGCTGTTCCTCCTGTCTCTATTGCAGAATGCAGCCTTTTGACAGCATGTACTAAAATCGATTTAAACCCACACTTGCATTAGTCCCCTCGTTTGGGGATTGGCATTTAGGCTGTGACAGCGAAAAGGCAGCAGACAGAACTACAGTATGTTACAAAAATCATTTTGTCAAACAGATTGTGAATCCAAAAGTGTAAGTTTGATTCTAGAGGGGGGAGAACAAATATAAAATAATTTGGGTAGTGTACTGCAGCGGCGATTTTAGCATGTCAATCTTGGTGGGGCAAACTCCATTTTTTTTAAATGCATGTCAGCAAAGCCACTACACAACACAACACAAAACAGTACATTCATTGCACTATAACGGTGACAAACAGTGCCCACAAACTGTTAGGGCCTCCATGAAGCTGTCCCAACAGCAGAGCTTTCTTTTCAGCACCATGGAGTGAATCCTTACCACCGCTACACCTGGCTATCAGCGGAGCCTTGTCTGGCAGCGAAACAGTTAATTCAGCCTCATTTACTGCCTTTAAAAAAAAAACCTAGGCGATATGGCTGACTTGCTTAAACAAATGTGGTTTCTACTCACAATCGAGATGTACAAACTATGGCATAAGGGAACGATGAGCGCATAAGAGGCAATCCGTCATTTCGATTATGACATTAATGAGCGAGCTAAGAATAACGTAGTCAATCTAACTATTTGTTCAGCACTTTTGAAATGTACAGCGACAGAATTCAGAACATGGGCCGTTCTTACAGTGTTCTCCCTGTACACCAAGTCAGAACCTTAGGCTAACTAAAGGGGGAATATAAGCAGACAATGAAAGCTCTTACAATATTTGATGATTACATTTCTCTAAAACAGGTTATAGGCTACATGTGCACCACCAAGTCACAACAGTAGGCTATATTATGAGGGGGGAAAAGGGACCAAATTATTAGGGTGAGGCACATGGGCTACTAACAGCTTACTACACAACACACACTTAGTATTACTTTCTTAGCTACAGTATACATATCTCCCTGGCATATTACATCATGTATGCAGCAGCACCTTGTTGTGCTGTGCTCACTTGAACAGGAAGGTGTCCTTCTTGTGGGCTAATTTTGTCATCAAACTTTGTCATCAAAGTCTGGCATTCTCTGGATTTATGGTGCTTTCAAGACAACTGGGAACTCGGAACAAAACAAGGTCGAATCGTGACGTCAGTGATCTTCAGGTCGGAGTTCTAGAAAGAGGCCCGAGTTCCCGACTTGGAATTCCGAGTTGGACGACCGTTCAAAACGTATTTTCAAATCAAATCAAATGTTATTTGTCACATGCGCTGAATACAACAGGTGTAGACCTTACCGTGAAATGCTTACTTACAAGCCCTTAACAAACAATGCAGTTCAAGAAATAGAGTTAAGAGAATATTTACTAAATAAACTAAAGTAATAAATAAAATAAAAAGTAACACAATAAAATAACAATAACGAGGCTATATACAGGGGGTACCGGTACCGAGTCAATGTGCGGGGGTACAGGTTAGTCCAGGTAATTTGTACATGTAGGTAGGGGTAAAGTGACTATGCATAGATAATAAACAGCGAGTAGCAGCAGTGTAAAAACAAAAGGGGGGGTCAATGTAAATAGTCCGGGTGGCCATTTTATTAATTGTTCAGGAGTTTTATGACTTGGGGGTAGAAGCTATTAAGGATCCTTTTGGATCTAGACTTGGCACTCCGGTACCGCTTGCCATACGGTAGCACATAGAAAAGTCTATGACTAGGGTGGCTGGAGTCTTTGACAATTTTTTGGGCCTTCCTCTGACACCGCCTACTATATAGGTCCTGGATGGCAGGAAGCTTGGCCCCAGTGATGTACTGGGCCGTACACACTACCCTCTGTAGCGCCTTACGGTCGGATGCCGAGCAGTTGCCATACCAGGCAGTGATGCCACCGGTCAGGATGCTCTCGATGGTGCAGCTGTATAACTTTTTGAGGATCTGGGGACCCATGCCAAATCGCAGTCTGAGCTCTTTTTTTCCGAGTAACCCAGTTGTCTTGAGATCACTGAAGTCTGAGATTTCCCAGTTTCCAGTTGTTTTGAACTCGGCAGAAGTCATGCTGGATTGACAGCATGGCCAACGTATTCAACCTTTTCTGGCCCATGATGTTGTATGTGAATGTTTATCCTTTTAAGCTTGGAAAAGAGACCCTTAAACCCAGACTTGGACCACACACCCGCTCCACTGAATAGCAGGCTAGTGATTGCTTTGCAACGCTTGCAGTTAGCCACAGATTCCTTCCAAACCACTCATTGTTGAATTTGCGATTTCCAACTTGTTGTGTAATGTTTATGTCCAATGGCCGATGAGCACCGATAAGTTTTATCTATAATTTATCTTCATATGACAAGGATTGAAAAGGCATTACCAGTAGATTGTCGACTTGATTCATGATGGTGACTGCTTGTCTAGCTTGCTAGCTAAGATTTTGAAAGTCTGATGTTGACATGATCAGTCCAATCAAAGCTACGGTAGATATAATTTGACGTCATTTTATCTGTGGCCAATGACCTTGAGCCTTCTTGGATGGGCACTTCTAATGTAAATCTATGGCAGCACCCAAGGGTGCTTGAACATTCTAGTTCTCCCTGTAGATTTTGCAGTGACGTAGTGTTCCCATGAGTGACAGAACACTGAGCCAATCACGGCGCAACTAGAGGAGATTACCAACCCCTACGCTCTGTATTTTCCGCTGGTTGCCCCACCACCACAGAAAGCACTGAGCTAGGCTGAAACACCTGCATTTTGGAGCTGCCTTACTCAAGAAAGCAAAAAAGAAACCAAATTTGTATGAGGCTTTATTAACTCAATTATATATATATATATATATTTTTTTTTACATTGTTTGCAATCTGATATGTGACACAAATTAATGCCAAAATAACATGCAAAACAGGCAACAAAATTGTATTGAAAATTATTATTATTATTATTTTTTTTTTTTTTTTAACTAAACAGGTGGGACTCTGCCCCACCTGCTCTGAATGACGGGTCGCCACTGGCGTAGGGGCATATTTATGTTATCTAGTCTTCAGGAGATTTTATTAGCCATTTACTTTATTTGGTCTGACCAGTGGAACAATTCTCATTCTTAACAATGGGCTATAATACAGGGTAATTGGTGTGCTTGTCAGAGCAACAACACTACTAATATTCACCACACTTATTTTATTGTTCCACTTCTTTCCAGTAATGACAGTGTAATCACATATTTGAAATCTGATATGCCCTACTTGTGTCTTTGAAAATGAATTATATGAGGCCATGTATTTTTGCAGCCATTCACGGATTGTTTTGAACAAAGTCATACAAATAAGCATTGGATATTAAATGCTGCGCGAATCAAATATAATTTTTGACATTTTAGTATTGTGCACGTGCTAGGCAGAGATGGTAAGGGGGCTCTCAACTCATAAACACATCATATTGTTTCTATGTAGAGTAAGATGATGACAGGGATCTTCAACTAGTAGGCATAAACCACCTGAATATTGATATTCATTAGACTTTTCTTGAAGGTTGGGTGATTTTGATAAATTAATTGTTATAACAAGAACATTTTCAAACACCCGGCACTTGGGAAACATAGATAATAATAAATAATAATATGCCATTTAGCAGACGCTTTTATCCAAAGCGACTTACAGTCATGCGTGCATACATTTTTGTGTATGGGTGGTCCCGGGGATCGAACCCACTACCTTGGCGTTACAAGCGCCGTGCTCTACCAGCTGAGCTACAGAGGACCACAGATCTGGGGTGACCAACCTTCCTGGAGAGCTAGCAGGATTTTCTTTCAGCCCTATTTTTAAAAGAGAGAGTTCACCCAAAATACAAAATATAAAATGTTTGTGTCCTTACCTTGAAAGCAGTCTATGGCCAACCAGACTGCAATCTATGATTTGGTTACCCCACTGCCATCAACCATTAATATTACAATTTCCTGTGTAAAGCCTTGGTGTAGTGGTAACACTCCCTGGCACGTGTCGCATACAACTTTCCACCTGCTTCTAACCTTCCCACTGTTTCTAGCATTAGCCCGTCTCCCCATCTCATTTCATTACTGTCTGAATAAAGTGTCAAACCACCTAAGGAAATATGTTTTTAAAAAAAGATTAGCATACTTTACATTTCATCCCCCAAATATCTCAAAGTAACAAAGTAATCGAATTTTGAGTGTTCATTTAATGTTCAAAGCATCCTGAATACACCTAATTTTCCACCGTGGTCATAGGCCTAAGCCATGTAAAAATACATACAGTGGGGAGAACAAGTATTTGATACACTGCCGATTTTGCAGGTTTTCCTACTTACAAAGCATGTAGAGGTCTGTAATTTTTATCATAGGTACACTTCAACTGTGAGAGACGGAATCTAAAACAAAAATCCAGAAAATCACATTGTATGATTTTTAAGTAATTCATTTGCATTTTATTGCATGACATAAGTATTTGATACATCAGAAAAGCAGAACTTAATATTTGGTACAGAAACCTTTGTTTGCAATTACAGAGATCATACGTTTCCTGTAGGTCTTGACCAGGTTTGCACACACTGCAGCAGGGATTTTGGCCCACTCCTCCATACAGACCTTCTCCAGATCCTTCAGGTTTCGGGGCTGTCGCTGGGCAAGACGGACTTTCAGCTCCCTCCAAAGATTTTCTATTAGGTTCAGGTCTGGAGACTGGCTAGGCCACTCCAGGACCTTGAGATGCTTCTTACGGAGCCACTCCTTAGTTGCCCTGGCTGTGTGTTTCGGGTCGTTGTCATGCTGGAAGACCCAGCCACGACCCATCTTCAATGCTCTTACTGAGGGAAGGAGGTTGTTGGCCAAGATCTCGCGATACATGGCCCCATCCATCCTCCCCTCAATACGGTGCAGTCATCCTGTCCCCTTTGCAGAAAAGCATCACCAAAGAATAATGTTTCCACCTCTATGCTTCACGGTTGGGATGGTGTTCTTGGGGTTGTACTCATCCTTCTTCTTCCTCCAAACACGGCGAGTGGAGTTTAGACCAAAAAGCTCTATTTTTGTCTCATCAGACCACATGACCTTCTTCCATTCCTCCTCTGGATCATCCAGATGGTCATTGGCAAACTTCAGACGGGCCTGGACATGCGCTGGCTTGAGCAGGGGGACCTTGCGTGCGCTGCAGGATTTTAATCCATGATGGCGTAGTGTGTTACTAATGGTTTTCTTTGAGACTGTGGTCCCAGCTCTCTTCAGGTCATTGACCAGGTCCTGCCGTGTAGTTCTGGGCTGATCCCTCACCTTCCTCATGATCATTGATGCCCCACGAGGTGAGATCTTGCATGGAGCCCCAGACCGAGGGTGATTGACCGTCATCTTGAACTTCTTCCATTTTCTAATAATTGCGCCAACAGTTGTTGCCTTCTCACCAAGCTGCTTGCCTATTGTCCTGTAGCCCATCCCAGCCTTGTGCAGGTCTACAATTTTATCCCTGATGTCCTTACACAGCTCTCTGGTCTTGGCCATTGTGGAGAGGTTGGAGTCTGTTTGATTGAGTGTGTGGACAGGTGTCTTTTATACAGGTAATGAGTTCAAACAGGTGCAGTTAATACAGGTAATGAGTGGAGAACAGGAGGGCTTCTTAAAGAAAAACTAACAGGTCTGTGAGAGCCGGAATTCTTACTGGTTGGTAGGTGATCAAATACTTATGTCATGCAATAAAATGCAAATTAATTACTTAAAAATCATACAATGTGATTTTCTGGATTTTTGTTTTAGATTCCGTCTCTCACAGTTGAAGTGTACCTATGATAAAAATTACAGACCTCTACATGCTTTGTAAGTAGGAAAACCTGCAAAATCGGCAGTGTATCAAATACTTGTTCTCCCCACTGTATAATTGCAGGAAATCAGCTTTAAAACAGTAAAATCTTCCTGGGGGAGCACCCCCAGTCCCTCGTCTAGGGATTGTGCCAGGGGGCAATTGAATTCACATAGCAAATCTCCCTCCAATTTTTTTCAAAAGTTGGCAGCCCTGCCTACCTAAGTTTGAGCCCCCTATCAACCACAGCACTATGGCAAGGGTCAAAGGTAACCCACCAGATGACCCCTGGAGTAATCACAGTCTCTGTGCTGGTGCTGTGGGCTAGTGGCTTAACAGCACTCTACTATAAAAACCTATGATTAACTGGAGAGCTGCATGCTCCCGAGTGGTGCAGCGGTCTAAGGCACTGCATCTCAGTGCTTGAGGCGTCACTACAGACCCCCTGGTTCGATTCCAGGCTGTATCACAATCTGGCCATGATTGGAAGTCCCATAGGGCGGCGCACAATTGGCCCAGTGTTGTCCGGGTTTGGCCGGGGTAGGCCGTCGTTGTAAAAAAGAATTTGTTCTTAACTGACTTGCCTAGTTAAATAAAGGTTAAATAAAGGTTAAATAAAGGTCAAATAAAAATAAAAAATGCACTTGGCTACTGAGCCTAAAGGTCAAACCGGGACAAAAAAAAAAAGACCATGATTTGGGGGATTTCCATGATTTGGGGGATTTCCATGATTTGGGGGATTTCCATGATTTGGGGGATTTTCACAAAATGTAATCCATAGAATGTTCCTTTGGAGGAAGGATATTTGACATTTGTATCTAAAAGCATAATTCATAAATAATTATTATATTAAGAGCTCTGGAATTCCACATTTGTTGTGTTGATTTAACAATCTTTATGACAGGATATGTTTTATAGGTGAGATGGTGGAGCTTTATGACAGGATATGTTTTATAGGTGAGATGGTGGAGCTTTATGACAGGATATGTTTTATAGGTGAGATGGTGGAGCTTTATGACAGGATATGTTTTATAGGTGAGATGGTGGAGCTTTATGACAGGATATGTTTTATAGGTGAGATGGTGGAGCTTTATGACAGGATATGTTTTATAGGTGAGATGGTGGAGCTTTATGACAGGATATGTTTTATAGGTGAGATGGTGGAGCTTTATGACAGGATATGTTTTATAGGTGAGATGGTGGAGCTTTATGACAGGATATGTTTTATAGGTGAGATGGTGGAGCTTTATGACAGGATATGTTTTATAGGTGAGATGGTGGAGCTTTATGACAGGATATGTTTTATAGGTGAGATGGTGGAGCTTTATGACAGGATATGTTTTATAGGTGAGATGGTGGAGCTTTATGACAGGATATGTTTTATAGGTGAGATGGTGGAGCTTTATGACAGGATATGTTTTATAGGTGAGATGGTGGAGCTTCGCTCATACCTACCTCTCAGCCACTTTAGAAACCTTTATACAGTGTCTGTCCAACTGGCTGTTAAGAAACACAATCTGAGGAGGGGAAACAATAGTCATCATTACTCATCGAGTATGATTAAAACTGGTTTCTAATTGATATACTCAAAGCTATGTTCTTGTGATTACAAGAACATTGTATAGTGTGTGGATTACATAATTTTAATTGATAAAGTACATCTTAGCACATCCAATAGAACATCCAATATAACATCCAACATCTAACAGAACATCCAATGTAACATCCAGCACCCAATAGAACATCCAACAGAACATCCAACATCTAATAGAACATCCAATATACCATCCAACATCCAATAGAACATCCAATATAACATCCAACATCCAATATCCAATAGAACATTCAATATAACATTCAACATCCAATAGAACATCCAATAGAACATCCAACATCCAATAGAACATCCAATAGAACATCCAACATCTAATAGAAAATAAAACATCTACTAGAACATCCAATATAACATCCAACATCCAATTTAACATCCAACAGAACATCCAACATCCAATTGAAGATCCAACATCCAATAGAACATCCAACATCCAATAGAACATCCAACATCCAATAGAACATCCGACATCTAATAGAACATCCAACATATAATAGAACATCCAATATAACATCCAACATAACATCCAACATCCATTAGAACATCCAACATATAATAGAACATCCAATATAACATCCAACATCCAACATAACATCCAACATCCAATAGAACATCCAACATCCCATCAAACATCCAATAGAACATCCAACATCTAATAGAACATCCAATATAACATCCAACATCTAATAATAATAAATAATATGCCATTTAGCAGACGCTTTTATCCAAAGTGACTTACAGTCACGCGTGCATACATTTTTTGTGTATGGGTGGTCCCGGGGATCGAACCCACTACCTTGGCGTTACAAGCGCCGTGCTCTACCAGCATATCAACATCCAACATCCATTAGAACATCTAACATCTAATATAACATCCAATATAACATCCAACATCCAATAGAACATCCAACATCCAATAGAACATCCAACATCCAATAGAACATCCACCATCCATTAGAACATCCAACATCTAATAGAACATCCAATATAATATTCAACATCCAATAGAACTTCCAACATCCATTAGAACATCCAACATCTAATAGAACATCCAACATCCAATAGAACATCCAACATCCAATAGAACATCCAATATAACATCCAATAGAACATCCAATATAACATCCAACATCCAATAGAACATCCAACATCCATTAGAACATCCAACATCTAATAGAACATCCAATATAACATCCAACATCCAATACAACATCCAATAGAACATCCAACATCCAATAGAACATCCAATAGAACATCCAACATCCAATAGAACATCCAATAGAACATCCAACATCCAATAGAACATACAACATGCAATAGAACATCCAACATCCAATAGAACATCCAATAGAACATCCAACATCCAATAGAACATACAACATGCAATAGAACATCCAACATCCAATAGAACATCCAATAGAACATCCAACATCCAATAGAACATACAACATGCAATAGAACATCCAACATCCAATAGAACATCCAATAGAACATCCAACATCTAATAGAACATCCAACATCCAAAAGAACATCCAACATGCAATAGAACATCCAACATCCAATAGAACATCCAACATCCAATATAACATCGAACATCCATTAGAACATCCAACATCTAATAGAACATCCAACATCTAATAGAACATCCAATATAACATCCAACATCCAATAGAACATCCAACATCCAATATAACATCCAACATCCAATAGAACATCCAACATCCATTAGAACATCCAACATCTAATAGAACATCCAATATAACATCCAACATCCAACAGAACATCCAACATCCAATAGAACATCCAATAGAACATCCAACATCCAATAGAACATCCAATAGAACATCCAATAGAATATCCAACATCCAATAGAACATACAACATGCAATAGAACATCCAACATCCAATAGAACATCCAATAGAACATCCAACATCCAATAGAACATACAACATGCAATAGAACATCCAACAGAACATCCAATAGAACATCCAACATCCAATAGAACATACAACATGCAATAGAACATCCAACATGCAATAGAACATCCAATATAACATCCACCATCTAATAGAACATCCAACATCCAATAGAACATACAACATCCAATAAAACACACAGACGTACCTCTTTCTCCACGTCCTCTTTGGTGCCTTTCCTGGGAATTTGTGAGGGTGTGTGTACTGGGCTCTGAGACTGACCCTCTATCAGTCGATACTGGACAGGGGGATGGAGAGGAGGAGATGGAAAAGGAGAGGGGAGAGAGGCATGTTACCATCCCGTTCCTCAATAATGGGTTCCCAAACGTTTTTGTAAAGCCTTTGACATTGTCTTGTGACCCATCCACTACACCAACCCTATAGTTCTGGCCACGGTCTAGTGAATCTAGTCCTTCCTGTCCATACCTTTTTGACTCTCTGTGGGTTCTTCATGCGTCTGCATTTCCTGATGTCCATCTCTGTGATGTTCACACAACCTGGCTGGAGGTCATGGAGGACCAAGGTTCGTGTTCAGCAGGCACAGGCATAAGGAAACATTTTCAAAATAGAAATTGAGTGTTATTGGGCAAGTCCAGGTACTGAAATATTTAAAAACACACACACACACATACCACAAAACACACACACATACAAACATACCACAGGTCTATGGACATCCCAGAAAGCTCTTTCTTGACTATCTAGAATCTTCCTCTCAATTCTATCCTTTTTCCTGTCGATCCTGGAGGAGGAGAGGGAGAGAGAGAGGGAGGGAGGGAGAGAGAGAGGGAGAGAGAGAGGGAGGGAGGGAGAGAGAGAGAGAGAGAGAGGGAGGGAGAGAGAGAGAGAGAGAGAGGGAGAGAGAGAGGGAGGGAGGGAGATAGAGAAAGAGAGAAAAAGAGAGAGAGAGACAGGGTGAGAAGAACAGAGTGTTAGACATAGCCTAAGGGGGTGTAATTTGTAATAGAAAAACATCTACACAAATACAATACACTTTGAAATGTATCAAAAAGAAAACGCGCACACACACACACACACACACACACACACACACACACACACACACACACTGTCATCGTGTTAAGAAGAACAGAACATCTCAAAGTTGCGGCCTGACTCCCTGCCTCAGAGCAGAGCAGAGCAAATGAATTTCCATCGGTGCCACTTTCCCCTTATATAACTGGCATTTACACAGAGCTGTACACTGACGCTCACACACACACGCTCACACACACACGCTCACACACACACGCTCACACACACACGCTCACACACACACACGCTCGCACACACACGCTCACACACACACGCTCACACACACACGCTCACACACACACGCTCACACACACACGCTCACACACACACGCTCACACACACCACGCTCACACACACACACGCTCACACACACACGCTCACACACACACACGCTCACACACACACGCTCACACACACACGCTCACACACACACGCTCACACACACACGCTCACACACACACGCTCGCACATACACGCTCACACACACACACGCTCACACACACACGCTCACACACACACACGCTCACACACACACGCTCACACACACACGCTCACACACACACGCTCACACACACACGCTCACACACACACACACGCTCACACACACCACGCTCGCACACACACGCTCCACACACACGCTCGCACACACACGCTCGCACACACACGCTCACACACACACGCTCACACACACACGCTCACACACACACACACCACGCTCACACACACCACGCTCGCACACCACACGCTCGCACACACACGCTCACACACACACGCTCACACACACACGCTCGCACACACACGCTCACACACACACGCTCACACACACACGCTCACACACACACACACGCTCACACACACACGCTCGCACACACACGCTCGCACACACACGCTCGCTCGGCGCTCCACACCCAGCCGCCGTCCAAATGGCACTCTATCCCCTAGATAGTGCACCAGAAGTAATGCACTGTAGGTCGTCATTTGGGACAAATCCCTGTCTCTCCTCCCATGATTCCTGATTCTTCTTGTTGGTTCGTAATTAAAGTGTTCACAATGGAGGGTGTAAAACGTAATTAAAGTGTTCACAATGGAGGGGTGTAAAAAGTAGGCGGTTGAACCACACACACACACACACCCACAGACACACACACACACACACAGACACACAGACACACACACACACACACAGACACACACACACACAGACACACACAGACACACAGACAGACACACACACACACACAGACACACATACAGACACACACACACACACACAGACACACACACACACACACACAGACACACATACAGACACACACACACACACAGACACACACACACACAGACAGACACACACACACACACAGACACACATACAGACACACACACACACACAGACACACAGACACACACACACACAGACACACAGACACACACACACACACAGAAACACACAGACACACACACACACACAGAAACACACAGACACACAGACACAACGACTTTACTTACTTGACCTGAGCCTCGGCCTGCATGAAGATAAACTCCCACTTCCTGGCGAAGGCTCTCTGTAGTCTGGCCAGGTTCTCCTGATTAATGGAGAGAAGGGGGAGGGAGGTAGGGATGGAAAGGGGAGGGAGGGAGGTGGGAGGGGGGAGAGAGGGAGGGAGAGGATGGGGGAGAGGGATAAAGGGAGGGAGGGGAGGGAGGGAGGGAGGGAGGGAGGGAGGGAGGGAGGGAGAGGCACGTAAGCAACCCAACCACAGCCACCTAGCAGTGTAAAATTGCTATCACAAATCAACTGAACCTTAAAGTTTATGTTGGCTGGTTTCACTACCTGTATCAGCCAGGGCTTATTGAAATGGGGGAAAAAACGTTGGGTAGTATTTCCAGTTACAGTGAAATGTCCCTATGGGCCCTGGTGAAAAGTATTGCACTATAGAATATATAGTGTACCATTTGGGGACATAGACATGACCTCCAGACCCACCGCCTCATTTAAACAGCCGCTCCCGACGGGGGCTTGTTTCTGCCCTGGGCCTTGCAAAAGATGATAGCTGGGAGGAGAGCAGGAGTGGGGGGGGGGGGGGGGGGGGGAGGGAGGGGAGAGAGCGGAGGAGAAAGGCTTTGGACGGGGAGAGGGAGAGAGGAGAGGGGAAGGAAAGGAGAGGAGAAAAGAGGGGAAGAGAGAGGGGGAGAGAAGAGGGGAGAGAAGAGAAGAGAGAGGGGTGAGAGAGGGAGAGGAGAGGGTAGAGAGGGGGAGGGGAGAGGGGGGGCAGGAGAGAGGCGAGGGAGGGAAGAGGGGAGGGGAGGGGGGGGAGGTAGAGAGAGGAGAGAGAGAGGAGAGGGGGAAGAGAGAGAGAAGAGGAGAGGGGAGAGAGAGGGAAGAGATAGAGGGGAAGAGAGGGAGGGAGAGGAGAGGGGGAAAAAGGAAAGAGAGGGAGGAAAAAACGAGAGACCCCAGGAAGAGAAAAGAAGAGAGAGAGGAGGGGGAGAGAGAGAGAAGAGGAGAAATGAGAGGAGGAGAGGAGAGAGAGAAAAGGGAGGAGAGAGAGAGGGAGAAAAGGAAAGAAAGGGAGGAGAGGGGGAAAGAGGGGGGGAGAGAGAGAAAGAGGGGGGAGAGAGAGAGAGGGGGAAAAGAGACAGAGAGGTGGAGAAAGAAAGAAGAGAAAGAGCAGGAGGAAGAAGGAAGAATGAGAAAAGAAAGAGGAGAGAAGAAGGAGAGAAAGAGAAAAGAAGGGAAGAGCGAAGAGAGAAAAGAAAGAAGAAGGAAAGAAAGAAGAATAAAAAAAAGAAAGAAAGAAGGCCGCCCGAAAGAAAGAAAGAAGAAGGAGAGAGAGGGGAAGAGAGAAAGAGCGGGAAAGCGAAAACCCAGAGAGAAAGAAGATAAGATGAGAGACAGAGGGCGAAAACTCGATAACCTCTCCCCTTGCAAAACCAGCAAAGAAAAAAAGACAACGAGGGGATGAAGCCCGGCCCCGGCAGAGAAAAACGTCGCAGGCCAGAAAAAGAGGCGGAAGGGGAAGAGCGAAAGATCGGCCCCAGAGGGCCCCCATGCAGCAGAAAACGCCCCCCCATCCACCCCCTCCAAGCCTCAGCAGCCACTCAACATCCAACCGCCCCCGCCTCCATCCACTACCCACTCACCAACCTCTCTCCCCCCCACCCCCACCTCCCCCCCTCCACCACCCACCCTCCGCCCCCCCCACCCCCAGCCCCCCTCCCACCACCCTCCCCACCCACCCTCCCCATCCATCCACCCTCCCCCTTCCCCCCCACCCCCCCCCCCACCGCCCCCCCCACCACCCCCCCCCACCAACCCCCCACGGGCCGGGGCTCCAGCCACACCCCCGGGAACACCAGGGGACCCCCCAAAACCCCCCCAACCAACCCCCCCTACCCAACCCACCCCCCAACAAACCCCCCCCCCCCACCCCCCCCCCCCCCCCACCCGGGGGCGGGGCCCCCCCAAAAACCCCCAAAAAACCGCCCACCCACAACAACCCATACTCCTCCCTCATCATCCCTAACCTCTCCTCCTCAACCCACCCTCCCTATCTCTCCCCTTCCATCCATACCTCCCTTCCCTCTCCATCCATCCCATCCCTTCCTCACCAGCTCCCTTCATCACTCTTTCTTCACTCTCCCTCTCCACGCATCCATCACTCCATCACTCCATCCATCCATCCATCCATCCATCACTCCATCCATCCATCCATCCATCCATCCCACTCCCCCTCTCCCCTCATCTTCCATCCCCCCCCCCCCTCATTATCTCTCTCTCCCGGTCCTAGTCCCTGATCAGATTTAGTTCCTCCCTAGTTCCAGGGAGGTGTCCACTGGAGCTGATGAGTCTCCTGGTTGTGACTGTTCTGAGAGCTGTGGCTATCTGTAATGTCCACTGGAGCTGATGAGTCTCCTGGTTGTGACTGTTCTGAGAGCTGTGGCTATCTGTAATGTCCACTGGAGCTGATGAGTCTCCTGGTTGTGACTGTTCTGAGAGCTGTGGCTATCTGTAATGTCCACTGGAGTGATGGGGACCGGGACACTGTCCTATAGGAGGTAGTGTTAGGGTTTCTAGCCCCTATAGTGAATGACATACCATAGACAGAGAATTTCCACCAGTCACACAGAGCATTGATTTGAAAGGGAATTTCTGTTCTAGTATTTCCATTTCTATGGACTTACCATAGTCTGTGTTCTCTGGCTCCCAGCAGTTAGAAAGCCAAAAATATGGAGCCTGTGAGTCAAGGAGGGATGGAGAGAGGTTGGAGGGATGGAGAGGTTGGAGGGATGGATGGAGAGAGGTTGGAGGGATGGATGGAGAGAGGTTGGAGGGATGGATGGAGAGAGGTTGGAGGGATGGATGGAGAGAGGTTGGAGGGATGGAGAGAGGTTGGAGGGATGGAGAGAGGTTGGAGGCATGGAGAGAGGTTGTAGGGAGGATGGAGAGAGGTTGGAGGGATGGAGAGAGGTTGGAGGGAGGATGGAGAGAGGTTGGAGGGATGGATGGAGAGAGGTTGGAGGGATGGAGACCGGATAGAGAGAGGTTGGAGGGAGGATGGAGAGAGGTTGGAGGGAGGATGGAGAGAGGTTGGAGGGATGGAGAGAGGTTGGAGGGATGGAGAGAGGTTGGAGGGATGGAGAGAGGTTGGAGGGATGGAGAGAGGATGGAGAGAGGTTGGAGAGGATGGAGAGAGGTTGGAGGGATGGAGAGCGTTGGAGAGGGATGGAGGGGATGGAGAGAGGTTGGAGGGATGGAGAGAGGTTGGAGGGATGGGAGGAGGGTTGGAGGGATGGAGAGAGGTGGAGGGATGGAGAGAGGTTGGAGGGGATGGAGAGAGGTTGGAGGGATGGAGAGAGGTTGGAGGGATGGAGAGAGGTGGAGGGATGGAGAGAGGGAGAGAGGTTGGAGGGATGGAGAGAGGTTGGAGGGATGGAGAGAGGTTGGAGGGATGGAGAGAGGATGGAGAGAGGTTGGAGGGATGGAGAGAGGATTGAGAGAGGTTGGAGGGATGGAGAGAGGTTGGAGGGAGGATGGAGAGAGGTTGGAGGGATGGAGAGAGGTTGGAGGGGATTGGGAGAGAGGTTGGAGGGATGGAGAAGAGGTTGGAGGGATGGAGAGAGGTTGGGGGATGGAGAGGGTTGGAGGGATGGAGAGAGGTTGGAGGGATGGAGAGAGGATGGAGGGAGGATGGAGAGAGGTTGGAGGGATGGAGAGGTTGGAGGGAGGGAGAGAGGTTGGCGGGATGGAGAGAGGATGGAGAGAGGTTGGAGGGAGGATGGAGAGAGGTTGGAGGGAGGATGGAGAGAGGTTGGAGGGAGGATGGAGAGAGGTTGGAAGGAGGATGGAGAGAGGTTGGAGGGAGGATGGAGAGAGGTTGGAGGGAGGATGGAGAGAGGTTGGAGGGAGGATGGAGAGAGGTTGGAGGGATGGAGAGAGGTTGGAGGGATGGAGAGAGGTTGGAGGGATGGAGAATGGAGAGAAGTTTGGACAGAGGAGTGAGGATGAAGGGAAGAATATAGTCAATAACGTAGAGTAAAAATATGTCCGTTTGTAAAGACATATAGTTGATTCAACAGAAATAAATATACAGTAGACTGCTTTCCAAGAGTCACATGTGTCATGCTGCGAAAGCTTCCGACAGATAAAAGAGGCTGGCATGAATTAATTTATTGCTATAATGTAATCTGCACAGCGTGCGGAGTAGGCGGGAGGCAGAAGGTGAAATGGAATTGTGTGCATCCCAAATGGCACCCTATTCCCTATGTAGTGCACTGCTTTTGACCAGGGCCCATAGAGCGCTGGTCAAAAGTAGTGCCCTATACAGTATAGGGAATAGGGTTCCATTTAGAACACAAGGGGCTTTGTTTTCCCTCTGTGAAGGTCTCTGAGCCTCCTGGTACAAAGCCTCTCAGAGTAGGAGCACTGGTCTAGGATCAGTTTGGCCATTATTTTATTTATTTTTTTGCCATTTAGCAAACGTTTTTATCCAAAGTGACTTACAGTCATGCGTGCATACATTTTTTGTGTATGGGTGGTCCCGGGGATCGAACCCACTACCCTGGCGTTACAAGCGCCGTGCTCTACCAGCTGAGCTACAGAGGACCACATTGAGCTACAGAGGACCACTTTTTAGATCGTAATGAATATATGGATTACGTGGGACCTGATCGTAGATCAGCGCTCCTACTCTGAGGCTTTGTGTAAACAGGCCCCTAACTGTTCTCTCTGTGGGTTCAGTTGTGATAAATATTTCACAGGATATTCCACCATTCATTTTTAATGGGGTCATGGACCCCCTGTGTGGAAACAGAGGAAGTACCTTTTCCTGAGATGGAAAGTGTCTGATACTTCGTCATTCTCAATCTGTCAGATTCAGATTAACACGAGGCAGCACTTGTCCATGTCTGTCGTCAGATTCAGATTAACACTGGGCAGCACTTGTCCATGTCTGTCGTCAGATTCAGATTAACACTGGGCAGCACTTGTCCATGTCTGTCTTGCGCTCTCATTTTTTCTCTCCATGAAGAGAGTAGGAAGTAGGAAGTAGGAAGTAGCCTACACATGCATGGGAGAACAACTGTTCACATTGGTGCAGTTTCACTCACTGGCAGTTGAGAGTTTCATCTGGCTCCTCAGTGCAGAGATGTATGAAATGTTTGTTTTTAGCTGTTAACGGGGGAATGTTCCTGCACCTTTCCCACAACATAATGCAATGTTCTGGGAACATTCACAGAACCAATTTTGCTTTGCTGGGATCCCTATGTAATCCCTCTTTGCCTCATTTTAGAGGGATTAAATGTCCTTATATGGTCCTACCGCTCTCCTGGAAGCTGGTTTATATGGTCCTACTGCTCACCTGGAAGCTGGCTTATATGGTCCTACTGCTCACCTGGAAGCTGGCTTATATGGTCCTACCGCTCACCTGGAAGCTGGCTTATATGGTCCTACTGCTCACCTGGAAGCTGCCTTATATGGTCCTACTGCTCACCTGGAAGCTTGCCTTATATGGTCCTACTGCTCACCTGGAAGCTGCCTTATATGGTCCTACTGCTCACCTGGAAGCTGGTTTATATGGTCCTACTGCTCACCTGGAAGCTGGTTTATATGGTCCTACTGCTCACCTGGAAGCTGCCTTATATGGTCCTACTGCTCACCTGGAAGCTTGCCTTATATGGTCCTACTGCTCACCTGGAAGCGATAGAAGGTTCCGTCGTCTTTGAGTGACAGGACGTGATCAGAGACGGGGAAGAGATATCCATGAGCAGCAATCAGACTCCCGATGTGCATCGCCTCAGCTACAGGGGAAGGACAAGGACGGGACACAGTTAGTGATTTACTGACATGTAATAAATGTTGTAGTAAGAGTTTATCACATCTTTATAAACTGGGTGGTTGGAGCCCTGACAACCGTGGTATATCAGACCGCATACCACGGGTATGACAAAACATTCATTTTTACTGCTGTAATTACATTGGTAACCAGTTCATAATAGCAATAAGGCACCTCAGGGGTTTGTGGTACGGCTAAGAACAGCCCTTAGCCGTGGTATATTGACCATATACCACACCCCCTCGTGCATTATTGCTTAATTATTGCATTATTGCATTTGAACACAAAGCTCATTATCTTGAACTATATCAATGTACAGTAACAAGGAAGAGACAATTACAAACATGTAATACATGCTCTATTAAGAGTTTATAAAGGGTCTATCACACGTTTAATACATTCTTTAAACAAACTTTAATTGCCATTGAATACAAAACTCCAAAAAGCATTTCAAATTGTCTTCATGACATTTACCCACCTGGATCCCCAATGGCTAGGTTCTTCATCAGCCACTGCACTATGTCTGCACCTGGTAGAGACAAGAGACAGAGAGGACTGTTATAGAAGACGAACAACACACACGCACGTAGGTGTAAGCTTTTCTTTACTTTGGCAAAAGTAGACCACAGAACTGTAGTTACTATTTACTCAATATAAACCTCCCCGGTGTAAAAAAAGCTTGAGCTGTCTGCATTGGAAAAGGCAAGAGGGGAGAGTGTGTGAGTGTGTGAGTGTGTGTGTGAGAGAGAGAGAGAGAGAGAGAGAGAGAGAGAGAGAGAGAGAGAGAGAGAGAGAGAGAGAGACCCAGAAAACCTGAGCCTACGCCTTCACTATGGTGACTCACTAAAACAATACAGAAATACACTACGGAAAAAGAAGGAACAGCATGTCAGAAATCAGCTCAATGTAATTGAAGAATCCATAGACTAACCACTTCTGGGAAAATTGGAAAACACTAAACAAAGAACAACACGAAGAGGTATCTATCCAAAACGGAGATGTATGGGTAAACCACTTCTCCAATCTTTTTGGCTCTATAACAAAGAACAAACAGCAAAAAAATATACATGATCAAATGCAAATCTTAGAATCAACTATTAAAGACTACCAGAACCCACTGGATGTAATTCTCCAATTACATTGAATGAACTACAGGACAAAATACAAACCCTCCAACCCAAAAAGGCCTGTGGTGTTGATGGTATCCTCAATGAAATACAGACCACAAATTCCAATTGGCTATACTTAAACTCTTTAACATCATCCTTAGCTCTGGCATCTTGCCCAATATTTGGAACCAAGGACTGATCACCCCAATCCACAAAAGTGGAGACAAATTTGACCCCAATAACTACCGTGGGATATGGAGACCTTCAACAGCAACCTTGGGAAAATCCTCTGCATTATCATTAACAGCAGACTAGTTCATTTCCTCAGTGAAAACAATGTACTGAGCAAATGTCAAAGTTAAGTATTTATGTTAAGTATTTATGCATAGTCACTTTAACTCTACCCACATGTACATATTACCTCAACTACCTCAACTAGCCGGTGCCCCCGCACATTGACTCTGCAACGGTACCCCCCTGTATATATAGCCTCCCTACTGTCACTTTATTTTACTTCTGCTCTTTTTTTCTCAACACCTTTTTTGTTGTTGTTTTATTCTTACTTGTTTTGTTTAAAATAAATGCACTGTTGGTTAAGGGCTGTAAGTAAGCATTTCACTGTAATGTCTGCACCTGTTGTATTCGGCGCATGTGAACAATAAAATTTGATTTGATTTGATTTGAAAATTGGCTTTTTACCAAATTACCGTACGACAGACCACGTATTCACCCTGCACACCCTAATTGACAAACAAACAAACCAAAACAAAGGCAAAGTCTTCTCATGCTTTGTTCATTTCAAAAAAGCTTTTGACTCAATTTGGCATGAGGGTCTGCTATACAAATTGATGGGAAGTGGTGTTGGGGGAAAAACATACGACATTATAAAATCCATGTACACAAACAACAAGTGTGCGGTTAAAATTGGCAAAAAAACACACATTTCTTTCCACAGGGCCATCGGGTGAGACAGGGATGCAGTTTAAGCCCCACACTCTTCAACATATATATCAACTAATTTGCGAGGGCACTAGAACAGTCTGCAGCACCCGGCCTCACCCTACTAGAATCTGAAGTCAAATGTCTACTGTTTGCTGATGATCTGGTGCTTCTGTCACCAACCAAGGAGGGCCTACAGCAGCACCTAGATCTTCTGCACAGATTATGTCAGACCTTGGCCCTGACAGTAAATCTCAGTAAGACAAAAATAATGGTGTTCCAAAAAAGGTCCAGTTGCCAGGACCACAAATAGAAATTCCATCTAGACACCGTTGCCCTAGAGCACACAAAAAACTATACATACCACGGCCTAAACATCAGCGCCACAGGTAACTTCCACAAAGCTGTGAACGATCTGAGAGACAAGGCAAGAAGGGCCTTCTATGCCATCAAAAGGAACATAAAATTCGACATACCAATTAGGATCTGGCTAGAAATACTTGAATCAGTTATAGAACCCATTGCCCTTTATGGTTGTGAGGTCTGGGGTCCGCTCACCAACCAAGAATTCACAAAATGGGACAAACACCAAATTGAGACTCCAACCAAGAATTCAGCAAAAATATCCTCTGTGTACAACGTAAAACACCAAATAATGCATGCAGAGCAGAATTAGGCCGATAACCGCTAATTATCAAAATCCAGAAAAGAGCCGTTAAATTCTACAACCACCGAAAAGGAAGAAATTCCCAAACCTTCCATAGCAAAGTCATCACCTACAGAGAGATGAACTTGGAGAAGAGTCCCCTAAACAAGATGGTCCTGGGGCTCTGTTCACAAACACAAACAGACCCCAGGACAGCAACACAATTAGACCCAACCAAATCATGAGAAAACATAAAGAGAATCACTTGACATATTTGGAAAGATTTTTTTTTGAAACTGTGCAAACTAGAATTATATTTGGCCCTGAACAGAGAGTACACAGTGGCAGAATACCTAACCACTGTGACTGACCCGAAATTAAGGTAATCTTTGACTATGTACAGCACTGTGAGCATAGCCTTGCTATTTAGAAAGGCCGCCGTAGGCAGACTGCCCACAAAATGAGGTGAAAACTCAGCTGCACTTCCTAACTTCCTGCCAAATGTATGACCATATTAGAGACTCATATTTCCCTCATATTACACAGACCCACAAAGAATTCGAAAGAAAATAAAATTTTGATAAACAACCATATCTATTAGGTGAAAAACCACAGTGTGCCATCACAGCAGCAATATGTGTGACCTGTTGCCACAAGAAAAGGGCAACCAATGAAGAACAAACACCATTGTAAATACAACCTATATTTATGTTTATTTATTTTCCTTTTTGTACTTTAACTATTTTCACATCATTACAACTCTGTACATAGACATAATATGACACTTGAAATGTCTTTATTCTTTTTGAACTTTTGTGAGTGTAATGTTTACTGTTAATTATTTATTGTTTATTTCACTTTTGGCAATGTAAACATATGTTTCCCATGCCAATAAAGCCCTTAAATTGAATTAAATTGAGCGAGCGAGCGAGCGAGCGAGCGAGATAGAGATAGAGATAGAGATAGAGAGAGAGAGAGAGAACAATCCTCTCAATGACTATAGAAGCACTGCCTTCCACATCATTTATTTGATTTGTGGCTCTACGCTGTGTCCGTGTGCATATGTCTGTAGTAATAGTGTTAGAGAGAGAGAGAGAGAGAGGCTTGTGGTTCTACGCTGTGTCCGTGTGCATATGTCTGTAGTAATAGTGTTAGAGAGAGATAGAGAGAGAGAGAGAGAGGCTTGTGGCTCAGTATGTCTGTAGTAATAGTGTTAGAGAGAGAGAGAGAGAGAGGCTTGTGGTTCTACGCTGTGTCCGTGTGCATATGTCTGTAGTAATAGTGTTAGAGAGAGAGAGAGAGAGAGGCTTGTGGTTCTACGCTGTGTCCGTGTGCATATGTCTGTAGTAATAGTGTTAGAAGAGAGAGAGAGAGAGGCTTGTGGTTCTACGCTTGTGTCCGTGTGCATATGTCTGTAGTAATAGTGTTAGAGAGAGAGAGAGAGAGAGGCTTGTGGTTCTACGCTGTGTCCCGTTGTGCATATGTCTGTAGTAATAGTGTTAGAGAGAGAGAGAGAGAGAGAGGCTTGTGGTTCTACGCTGTGTCCGTGTGCATATGTCTGTAGTAATAGTGTTAGAGAGAGAGAGAGAGAGAGGCTTGTGGTTCTACGCTGTGTCCGTGTGCATATGTCTGTAGTAATATTGTTTATTGATAGGCCTCTCTGCTCATGGCCCACTAAAGTAATATATCCTGAGAGGGGATGAATCATAAGAGTGGTTGAGGTCATCAATTATTTGGTGTTGCCGTGGCCACACACACACACACACACACACACACACACACACACACACACACACACACACACACACACCACACACACGCCGGCCTCAGCTGCACTCTCACCTGTGACGACGCTGGGTATCTTGGTCAGGAAGCTCTTCACAGTTCTGATGGGAACACCCTCAGTCTCATCCTGGATACGGGTCACTATCTCCTCAATCTGCAGGAGAGGAGCGTACATCACACATTTCACCTGTAGAGATACAGCTTATTCTCATTCAGATCAAATCTATTTCACAAGACACACCTGAGATACTTAGCCCAGTTTTTAGAATGAAGGCAGTGCTCCTTTTTTGGGAATTCACTTTTCTAATCTTTAATTAATATTACTAATTATACTGTTATCTGAATTACAGTCACAACCGATTACATGATATCTTTAGGCCTATCACATATTACTGAACACTTAGCTAAAGCCTATTTAGTTCCAGACCATTAAAGACAAGGCTCAAGTCTATCAACTGCTTACAGAGACTAATGTGTGGATGACGGGTTGGAGTAAAATCCAGACAATTGAGATTTGAATTCTAATCACACACACACATACACACACACACCCTCAGGCATATTAATATCCCTGTAGCCAGCAATGGAGCATGTTGCCCACCTCAGGCATATTAATATCCCTGTAGACAGTAATGGAGCACATTTCATTGAAATGACGTGAGCGAGAGAGAGAGAGAGAGAGAGAGAGGAGAGATGAGAGAGAGAGAGAGAGAGAGAGAGAGAGAGATAGAGAGAGAGAGATAGAGAGAGAGAGAGAGAGCATCGCCTGATAGTAGAGTGACGCTAAGAGATCTCTAGAGCTATAGCTCGGATGACGCCGATAGAGGCTCTCTCTAGCTACTACTCTGCTGAGAAGAGCTAGGAGAGCTAGAGAGCTAGAGATCGAACGCGAGCGAACGAGAGACAGAGAGAGAGAGACAGAGACAGAGACAGAGACAGAGACAGATACAGAGACAGAGACAGAGCCCTGTTGTGACCTGTTGCCACAAGAAAAGGGCAACCAGTGAAGAACAAACACCATTGTAAATACAACCCATATTTATGTTTATTTATTTTCCCATTTGTACTTTAACTATTTGCACATTGTTACAACACTGTATATAGACATAATATGACATTTGAAATGTCTTTATTCTTTTGGATCTTCTGAGTGTAATGTTTACTGTTAATTTGTATTGTTTATCTCACTTTTGTTTACTATCTACTTCACTTGCTTTGGCAATGTTAACATACGTTTCCCATGCCAATAAAGCCCTTAAATTTAATTGAATTCAGAGAGAGGGAGAGAGGAGAGAGAGAGGAATCTAGTAGAACAAGATAACTCTGAAACAAAATGAGGACACTTAAATCAACAACGAGCCAAATGCACGCACACACACGCACGCACACACACACACACACACGCACGCACACACACACACACACACACACACACACACCACACCACACCACACTCCCCCTGGTCTCTACCAGTATGTTCTCATATAGACATCCCATCCCCCTGGTCTCTACCAGTATGTTCTCATATAGACTTAATGTTCCCATATGAGCCTTTTAGTGTTAGGAATGTAACACTAAGCACCATCCATTAACACTTCTACTTTGAGTCCCACACTGGGTCAGAGTTCCCTTGAGTCTCAGTCTGTGCTTTGTGCATTAATATGTTCACATAATTCAATCTAATGCTAGGATCTCTGTGGATAAAGGTGTATGATATTCGTGCTGTATAAACATCCCATCTACATTTGATCATTTTACAGTACACAATTTTCTACAAAAAAAAAAAAAAAAGGAAACCACGGGTGAGGAGAGTTTCCTCAGAAGAACAGCACAGTACTACAGTCAGTAAACAGCCAGAGACTCAGGGTTGGGTTGAGGACACACAGCCAGAGACTCAGGGTTGTGTTGAGGACACAGCCAGAGACTCAGGGTTGTGTTGAGGACACAGCCAGAGACTCAGGGTTGTGTTTAGGACACACAGCCAGAGACTCAGGGTTGTGTTGAGGACACACAGCCAGAGACTCAGGGTTGTGTTGAGGACACACAGCCAGAGACTCAGGGTTGTGTTGAGGACACACAGCCAGAGACTCAGGGTTGTGTTGAGGACACAGCCAGAGACTCAGGGTTGTGTTGAGGACACAGCCAGAGACTCAGGGTTGTGTTTAGGACACACAGCCAGAGACTCAGGGTTGTGTTGAGGACACACAGCCAGAGACTCAGGGTTGTGTTGAGGACACACAGCCAGAGACTCAGGGTTGTGTTGAGGACACAGCCAGAGACTCAGGGTTGTGTTGAGGACACACAGCCAGAGACTCAGGGTTGTGTTGAGGACACACAGCCAGAGACTCGGGGTTGCTGTGAGGACACAGCCAGAGACTCGGGGTTGTGTTGAGGACACACAGCCAGAGACTCAGGGTTGGGTTGAGGACACAGCCAGAGACTCAGGGTTGTGTTGAGGACACAGCCAGAGACTCAGGGTTGGGTTGAGGACACAGCCAGAGACTCAGGGTTGTGTTGAGGACACAGCCAGAGACTCAGGGTTGTGTTGAGGACACAGCCAGAGACTCAGGGTTGTGTTGAGGACACAGCCAGAGACTCAGGGTTGCTGTGAGGACACACAGCCAGAGACTCAGGGTTGGGTTGAGGACACAGCCAGAGACTCAGGGTTGTGTTGAGGACAAAGCCAGCGACTCAGGGTTGTGTTGAGGACACAGCTAGGGACTCAGGGTTGTGTTGAGGACACAGCCAGAGACTCAGGGTTGCTGTGAGGACACAGCCAGAGACTCAGGGTTGGGTTGAGGACACAGCCAGAGACTCAGGGTTGTAGTTAGGACACACAGCCAGAGACTCAGGGTTGCTGTGAGGACACAGCTAGGGACTCAGGGTTGGGTTGAGGACACAGCCAGAGACTCAGGGTTGTAGTTAGGACACACAGCCAGAGACTCAGGGTTGTTGTTGAGGACACAGCCAGAGACTCAGGGTTGTGTTGAGGACACAGCCAGAGACTCAGGGTTGTGTTGAGGACACAGCCAGAGACTCAGGGTTGTTGTGAGGACACAGCTAGGGACTCAGGGTTGTGTTGAGGACACAGCCAGAGACTCAGGGTTGTGTTGAGGACACAGCCAGAGACTCAGGGTTGTTGTGAGGACACAGCTAGGGACTCAGGGTTGTGTTGAGGACACAGCCAGAGACTCAGGGTTGCTGTGAGGACACAGCTAGGGACTCAGGGTTGCTGTGAGGACACAGCCAGAGACTCAGGGTTGCTGTGAGGACACAGCTAGGGACTCAGGGTTGCTGTGAGGACACAGCTAGGGACTCAGGGTTGTGTTGAGGACACAGCCAGAGACTCAGGGTTGCTGTGAGGACACAGCCAGAGACTCAGGGTTGCTGTGAGGACACAGCCAGAGACTCAGGGTTGCTGTGAGGACACAGCCAGAGACTCAGGGTTGCTGTGAGGACACAGCCAGAGACTCAGGGTTGCTGTGAGGACACAGCCAGAGACTCAGGGTTGCTGTGAGGACACAGCTAGGGACTCAGGGTTGCTGTGAGGACACAGCTAGGGACTCAGGGTTGTGTTGAGGACACAGCCAGAGACTCAGGGTTGCTGTGAGGACACAGCCAGAGACTCAGGGTTGCTGTGAGGACACAGCCAGAGACTCAGGGTTGCTGTGAGGACACAGCCAGAGACTCAGGGTTGCTGTGAGGACACAGCCAGAGACTCAGGGTTGCTGTGAGGACACAGCCAGAGACTCAGGGTTGCTGTGAGGACACAGCCAGAGACTCAGGGTTGCTGTGAGGACACAGCTAGGGACTCAGGGTTGCTGTGAGGACACAGCCAGAGACTCAGGGTTGCTGTGAGGACACAGCCAGAGACTCAGGGTTGCTGTGAGGACACAGCGTGTTTCACAGCCAAGGACACCACCAGCCTCTGGCTAAACATCACAATCAATAATGATAAAATGTTATCAGGAGCCTGCCGGTTCAGGGAGATAGTACCAGGAGCCTGCCGGTTCAGGGAGATAGTACCAGGAGCCTGCCGGTTCAGGGAGATAGTAGACAGAGCAGACTGAACAGTCCAGGTTTGAAGTTCAGTCAATTCAGGAAGTAAACTGACATTCCAATTCAGTAATTGAAAACAGGGACATATTTTCAATGACTTCTAAATAAACTGAAAAGTAGAAGATATTTACTTCAAAAGTTGTTAAATTCTTCAATGTTCTGTTCAAATCCCTCCCTGAATTGACTGCTTTCAATTCTAATTGATCCCAACCCTGGAGCAGACAGAGTAGCTAATGGCCTTGTGTGATGAACCACATCGTATCCCGTCAGGCTGACAGCAGATCAATCAATATGGGCTATGCTTAAAGTTGCGATATGCAGAAATCGTTCAGCCATTTCCTTGATTGCTAAAATTCTAATAGTTCACCTAATTTCAGTTTATGTGACAAAACAAGCAAGTATAGTGTAGAAAATCATTGTACCATCTAAACAGCTGTGAAATATATTTTCCATAACCAAAGATATTGTATTTTCAGCTGTTTGAAGCGGGTGTACAAAAGTAAAAGACGCAAAAACAAAAGTTAAGAACATGAAGCATAGAAATAGCGCACATAGAACAGACCTACCATTTATTAGATGGGCTTGCAATGAAAATGACATATCTATAACTCATATTTCTATGTGAATTTGGTCGGGTCACCCAAAAAGTCACATATTGAAGCTTTAAGTAGGTTTTCGGGTATCTGTACTTTACTTTAATATTTATATTTATGACAACTTTTACTCCACTACATTCCTAAAGAAACGATGTACTTTTTACTGCCATACATTTTCCCTGACACCCAAAAGTTACATTTCGAATGCTCAGGCAGAACAGCAATATGGTCCAAATCACACACCTACTGTATCAATATAACGCCTTGTTATCCCTACTGCCTCTGATCTGGCGGACTCACTGAACACAAACACTGTATCAATATAACGCCTTGTTATCCCTACTGCCTCTGATCTGGCGGACTCACTGAACACAAACACTGTATCAATATAACGCCTTGTTATCCCTACTGCCTCTGATCTGGCGGACTCACTGAACACAAACACTGTATCAATATAACGCCTTGTTGTCCCTACTGCCTCTGATCTGGCGGGCTCACTGAACACAAACACTGTATCAATATAACGCCTTGTTATCCCTACTGCCTCTGATCTGGCGGACTCACTGAACACAAACACTGTATCAATATAACGCCTTGTTATCCCTACTGCCTCTGATCTGGCGGACTCACTGAACACAAACACTGTATCAATATAACGCCTTGTTATCCCTACTGCCTCTGATCTGGCGGACTCACTGAACACAAACACTGTATCAATATAACGCCTTGTTATCCCTACTGCCTCTGATCTGGCGGACTCACTGAACACAAACACTGCGTTTGTAAATGATGTCTAAGTGTTAGAGTGTGCCCCTGTCTGTCCGTAAATTGAAAAAAAAATAAAGAAAAACGTGCCGTCAGGCATATTCATTATTTGTTTAATATCAGGAATTTGATGTATAGTATTTACTTTTACTTTTTACTTTTACTCAAGTATGACGGTTGAGTAGTTTTTCTACCACTGTACTTAAGTACATTTAAAACCAGATACTTTTAGACTTTTACTCAAGTACTATTTTCTTTTGGTGACTTTCACTTTTACTTGAGTCGTTTTCTATTAAGGTACATTTACTTTTACTCAAGTATGACAATCGAGTACTTTTTCCACCACTCAACATTACACCCTAATTACTGTGTGTCTCTGAGACTCCCTCCCATCAAGAGGAGAGAGCGACAGAGAGAGCAGAGAGAGATGACGAGAAGAAGGAGCAGAGAGAAGAAGAGAGAGAGGAAGAGAGAGAGAGGAGTAGAGAGAGCGAGAGCGAGAGAGTAGCGAGAGAGAGATAGAGGAGTCGAAAGATATAGATAGGCGATATAGCGAATATATATCTCTAGAGGCTAGAGTGAGCCTCCCTCGAGTCTCTCTAGAGAGATCAAGGAGCTCTCCTCTATCTCTCTCTCTCTCTCTATATCTTCTCTCTCTCCTCTCTCTCTCTCTCTCTCTCTCTCTCTCTCTCTCTATCTCTAATCTCCTCTCTCTCTCTTTGTCTCTCTCTCTCTCTCTCTCTAAAACGTTCTGCCATCGATGGCTGACTGAATGGCTAAAGGACAGATTCAGAACACCACAGGCTGATGAATGAATGGAATTTGGATGCACGGCAGAATGGAGAGGGATTCACATTAGACTCTGACAACAAACCCTGACTTCATTTTTTTACCAAGCCATTGATACAGGAATTCACACTAAAGACAAGGCATAAACAAGACAGGATGTAACTGTCTGTTATGTTAATTGCCTCTCCAACCATCTCATTGCCACAAAAACAAGTGACTAGAACAGGCTGTATTTCTGGCGTAAGGTCAAGCAGATGACGTGGTATAAAATCACCCATTGTTTCTGTCTCACATCTGTGGCATCTATGGTCTTTGTAAGGCCTCCATCTTGTCTTCAGAGCTCCTTGACAATCAACCGCTCTAGCAGCAAACTGATTACAGCACGTCCCTTTACAGGCTAAAACCACCACTTACCAACAGAGATACAGTCCTCACACTGCATGTCAAAAAAAACGTGAGATGGAGAGGACATTTTGAAGAGTTGTGGTTGAATAACAGAATGATGATAATGCAGTGATATATTTTATGTTGGCTGATTGGTAGACAATATGTTTAAACACCGTGACTCTATTATGGTATTTTGTATTCCAAGCCAAGCCTCTGTCTCCTGTGTGGAGAACGCCACGCAAACAGGCCAGTGACAGTGTCAAATAAAAGTTTCTCTTTTGAATTACACCACCTGGGGATTGCAGCTGGGAGATAACAGGAGTGTGTGTGTGTGTGTGTGTGTGTGTGTGTGTGTGTGTGTGTGTGTGTGTGTGTGTGTGTGTGTGTGCGTGTCTGGGTGTGTGTGTGTGCGTGTCTGGGTGTGTGTGTGTGTGCGTGTGTGTGTGTGTGTGTGTGTGTGTGTGTGTGTGTGTGTGTGTGTGTGTGTGTGTGTGTGTGCGTGTCTGGGTGTTTGCCCCTCCATGTGTGTCTATGACTGTGTGCACAAGTGGGTGTGTGTTTGTGTGTGTGGGGGGGTCTATGTATGTGTCTGTCTGTGTGTGTATGTATGTGTGTGTGTGTGTGTGTGTGTGTGTGTGTGTGTGTGTGTGTGTGTGTGTGTGTGTGTGTGTGTGCGTGCGTGTGTGTACCTATGCATGCATGTGGGTGTGGGCTGAGAGAAGATTCAATTTATTTCTGAGCCCAGGTGGTTTACCATCAAAGACCACCTTTACTCCCCAGACAGACAGACAGACAGACAGACACAGATCCAGACAGTCAGACAGACAGACAGACAGACACAGATCCAGACGGTTCTATGACTCCCACAGCTGCTGTCACAGTCAGGCCATGGTGCTGGGTTCTACAGGTCAGAGGACCGACAGCCTGCTTCACAAAGGGTCTCCTATTCCCTATATAGTGTACTATTTTTGACCAGAGCCCATAGTACACTAAATAGGGAACGGGATGTAATTTGGGACTCAGCAGTAGCCACTCTGTACACCTGCCCTGCGAATCATACCAGTCCAGAAATCATACAATAATCATATGGCCATTTAAAGGGGCAATCTGCAATTGGTACATCCATTTTTTTTTTACTTATAATATAAATTACTGATATATTCCCATTGATTCTTGAAGAATATAACTTCTAAATGCCTCATGAGCTCATTTCAACTGTCGTACCCCATCAGATCCCAAAATAGAAGCTGGTTTTACTCCATTATTTGTAAACAAACACTGTATAGCTTCAGAACATGGTTAAAACTATAATTTTGATATCATGGATAGTCAGTCATTGCATCCATAGCTCTTTCTATGAATTTGAGAGTGGTTACATTTATAATAATAATAATAATATGCCATTTAGCAGACGCTTTTATCCAAAGCGACTTACAGTCATGCGTGCATACATTTTTGTGTATGGGTGGTCCCGGGGATCGAACCCACTACCTTGGCGTTACAAGCGCCGTGCTCTACCAGCTGAGCTACAGGGGACCACATTTCTCCTGCCCCATCCCTCAGCTTTTTACTAAAAACTGTGGCAGGGTGTTAGCTTTGTTAGTGTTTAAAGTGCAGATTGCCCCTTTAAGCAGATGTTTTATTTAGCAACTGAGAGTTCAATGTTGCTTCAGGAACCAGACGCATCGGAAGTATAGTAACCATATGGTCATTTAGCAGACCATTTTTATCCAAAGGGAGTTAGAATTAACATAGAGTTCAATTTACTCAGCGTGTGATCAAACCTGTAACTCTGATGCTCCAAGCTGCCCCGCAAAAAAACATTCAGGCAACCCAATAAAGACTGACAGAAGATACAGAGAACGTAGTTTCTGACTGACGATTACAGTGTACATTAAGCATACACCCAGATGACAGGCAGTGTGGTATATATACTGTCACGCCGTGACATATTGGTTGGAATTGCTGTTGCTAACGGTAACGGCCCACTCTGCAGCAGGGATCAACTCAAGTGTTCTGTTCCAATTTGTCTTGAAATTACACTCAGTCAGGTGTGCTGAGATGCGGCCGCATGTGGTTTCAGTGTTCTTTTGATTCACATGTCAAAGTTCCTGTGTAGACTTAGGACTGCATTCCAAATGACACCCTACCTGTATTACCTATATAGTGCACTAATTTGGACCAGAGCCCTATGCGTCCTGGTCAAAAGTAGTGCACTATAAAAAAAGGGACTAGGGTGCCATTTGGGACGCATCCCAGTTGCAATCAGAGCATGTAAGTAAAAACGGAGAACAGAGCGAGTTTCCCGAAAGGCTGGAGTGTTGGCTTTCTCACCCTCTCCAGT